TGCTGCGAGGTCCGGGAAGCCTCCAACAAAAAGGACCGCCTGATGTGTTCTGGATTGGTGGTTTCAACGAAACAGAACAAACTCATATGAGTCAGTGGGTGATAGAAAACAAGTTTTTGTCAGAGGTAACAGATCTCTGAAACCACCACCCAGTGTTCTATTCTTCACTTGGTGCCCAAAAATCGTCTTGTCCCTTGTGACAAGAAGGAACTCCTATAAGAGGTCCAAATCTGCAGTGGAGCGGCGTCTTTGGTGTTTCACCTGAAAAGCTTCGCGCGCGACGACTTTCCCACTTCATCGCCAGACTTCAACCTGAAGATTTGGTGGTTCAGCAGTCATTGTGATTGTCCCACTTCATCTTTAAACGATTTCTGGCACCATTGGACGTGCTCTCGATGCTTGACCCTCTCAGTTTGAGAACCAGGACTCCCAGGGTGCGACGTGTGCGACATCGGGACGGACAACGACCAAACGACCTGTAACATCGGGACCGTCCCGCATGGGTTCTTCACCTTAACTGGCAGTTCCTTGAACCTCCTTGACCGTGTTCGTGTTGCACCAGACCCCTTCAGAAGCATCCCGACCTTCAGAAACCTGTGAACTGTTGCGGAACGGTGGGGGACACCATGACCGCAAGGGTCCAGGCGCCACGTCTCTCGTTGTGTTCGCGACACGTCCATGGTTCGTCCCCAAGCACCGAAGCACCTTTGGGGGTTCGCTACGCTCCGGTGGCCCAGACACTCCATGTATGATATGCCAGGACGGACGGCAGTCCGTCAAAACGGCCAGGGGTGGTTGATATGGGGTCAATTGATCGGCCGTCCGATGGCAGTCTCAAACAGCTCGTGTCTGGGTTGGAGGCCTTGAGCGACTCTCACCGCGATAGACCTCACCTCATATCGACTCAGACTCGACGGCGTTTCCTCCAGCAGCTGGACCCGGGCCGACCCGACGAGCTGCGTTTGCTCGCGCGAAAAAGAAAAATGGGACATGACCCGAAGCAAGAAACAGGTACGACTCAGGGGGCCATTCTCTAAGGTATACTGTATACTCACTCAGGTTGACGAACCTAGATACCTAAAGCCACCCCACCATTCCCACCTTCGTCTGCTGAGGTCGCCTTCCTCGAAGAAGATTGACCCGCGCTACCAGCTTAGCTCCTTTTGTTTCTTGCTCTTTTCTTAGCTGCTCATGCTAAAGGATTGGAAAGGTACAGTACCTTCTGATTCTTCTGCAACATCCATTCGACGACGAGTGTGTAAACAACAGTTTAACAACAGGAAAAAACACACAATTGCCTGGAGTCGACTTGTATACCTTGAGTCTCCAATGACCCTTTTAAATTTGCCTTTCCAGGAAAAAGATTTTTGTGAAAGAAAACACGATTTTTTTGCATATGTCACGAAATGTTCCTTTTTTGTGTGTGCCCTGTCAGATCCTCCTTAGACAGTGTCCTGAGACCTTGTTTTCGCCGTCCAAAACGCGTCCTTTTGCGTCCAAAAGGCGTTTTTCAGCGTCCGCACCGGACGCGTCCGGATGAAGGCGCCGATTCGAACGAGCGGTGCTGCACTGCAGCGGATCGCTTCGATGGTCCACGCGTCCACCTGGACCCGACTTGAAGCACGACCCGAACAAAAAAAAGGGGTACGACGTTACGACTCTATATACCCTATTTCGAAGGTATGTATAGTCCGGTGCCTGTAACTCCCATGTGAGCTCTTGTTGTGGCGCCTAGGCAAATGTATAAGTGCCCAAATCCGCAAAACACTGGTTCTTTGGGATGAAACGACCATTCAAAACCATGCAGCTTGCCCCCACCAACTCCGGGCAACGGTGACGTCACCGCTCCACCGCACCGAACACATCCGAACACGACCCGCAACAGCTCCACTGCCGCGGTCGGAACGACCGGGGGGCGCCACGGACCGCGGTCTGCGACGGGAGTTCCCTCCTCTGACAAGGAAAGTTCGGAAGGTCGACCATCGGTTTTTCCGATCAACGACACGACAGGAGAACGACGGACTTCATGCGATGACCGCGGTGTTCACTATGGTGTTACATTGGGTTCTATATGTTTTTACTGGGTCCTTGGACCTGTAGGGTTGACTTCGGGATGTGGGGATTGGTCCCGCAGTTCGAGACTGACCCGACGTGACGAGTTCGCGAGGTAGGCTGAAGCTCGCTACGGAGGTAGACTCTTGATGAGACTTCCAACCCGAAGGCCTTTTCAGAGGTGTTCCAATGTTTTACCATCCATGTCTGGGGAAGTTTTCTCAATCAAGAGTCTACATATGTCTAAGATTGTCTAAGCCGTTGCTGTGCTTGGAGGGTTTGGGAGAATGTAGAGGATGTGCCAGGTATTGTCCTAAAATCCCCATGAACCTGGTTTTGCTGAATCGTCTGGAGGGGTCTGGGGTCGAACCAATCCCTGGGTTTTGAGGGACCAAGAGCTCTTTGGAGCATCTGGGAGGGTGATTCTTAATTTTCCCTATGGGTGAATCCCAATTCTGGGGATTTTGTTCTTTCCCGGTCGAGAATCAGCGAGTCCAGGTAAAATCATGAGAAGCTTCTTCCGTTTGAAGAGTCCTATCTTGCGGATCCTCATTGAGTCGTTTCCTCGCCACCAGAACGAACCTTCCAGTTCCAGGGCCCAGTTGTACGATGTGTTAGACTTTCCTAGACCATCTATCCGTGTATGGAATAGTTACAGTTATAACATACATTTACCTCACATTGATGACCCTTAATCTAGGTATAGCAATGCCATACGGTTTGCTCCTGCTTTTCAGGATATCCGGGGAGCGCATGGCAGTCACAACCGTTTGTGGCTGTTGGCTCAAGCAACCGACCTACCCTTCGCTTGCGGAGAGCGACACTGCTACATCTACTCTTATACAGTTACATACTCCTATACTATTGCTATTACTCCAATTGTTGTTCGCCCTGTTCACCTTTTCTTCCCCTGCAACGACTACTACTACTACTACTACTA